AACTCAAAATACATGTGAGAAATGCACAGAAGTTGAGATGTGCATAAATCATTAATGAGGGCAAAGTGGGTTATGAACTTTACACATCATTTCCTTGCAAGCCTGCAGCTGGGTATCTCTATTAGGTGAGCGTTTTGGCCCCAAGGATGTAGTGGAAATTCAGTGGCTCAGCTTTGTGTCTCCAGTTTCCTTTGCTGGGCTCTGACTCTGCATATGCACCACAGAACTTGCTATTTCTTGGGTATTTTATAAAAGAAAACAAGCTACATTGAATAGGTCCCAAGCCAGAGAATCTGAGATTGTGCTCACAGAGGAATATCAAACATCAAGACAGGATGTTCTCCTCCCCCTTCTTTGAAATAAATACACTTTAAAAATAAACAGTCTTTGGGATGCAAGTGAGACAGTGTCCTCTAGGATGTTGCAACCAGCAGCTCCTTGTTACCAGCATTAACAGGAATGGAGAAAGAGAAGCAAAATCTAAGACCACAAATGGGCTGAGGATTTCCCTACCCAGGGCCTTGCATCACTTTGTTTCCACTTCTCTTCAGCAGGGTTTGTATCTCTACAAGCTGAGCCATGGCCATGGTCACCTTCTCTTCCCAGCTGCACGTCACAGCATCCTCCACATTCCCTCTGGGTTCCAGCATCACCTCAGGCCAGCAGCACTTCTCTCCTAGAGGCAGGACAGGGAAGCTTGTGAAACCAAGCTGTGCCTGCTGCCTGTGGTTCAGGCAAGGCTGGTGCCCATCACTGAGGAGGCTGTGGGCAGCTAGAGGCTGCCACAACTTGCCCTTCCTGGCTTTTTGCAAGGACTCTGCAGGTTTTGAGCATGGGGTTGCTCTGAGCTGCTGCAAGAACTTATCCTGTCCTGGCAAAGTGAGGAGCTTGTTCTGAGCACGCCTCTGGTCCAGCTCTAGCCTGGTGCCTTCTTTGGCAGTAATTGTGACTCAAGGGAGATAATTACATTATTAAATTAAATTAGTCTTGTAGAGAGGAGGATTCCCTTAGAATGTGTTGATTCCCTGACAATGTTCCTACAGGGAGAATGCAGAGGCTCCAGCCTACATTTGTAGGTGTAGTGTGAGTGGAGAGCAGAGTTAAGAGTTATGTTATATATCAGATGATGACAACTACTCTTCCCAGTGCATATTCTTGGGTGGGCCTTATGGTAAAATCCCATCTGCCCAAAACAATAATTTTCTCCTTTTTATGCATGGGAATTCTGCTTTTCATCAGTGCCTCCTGCTTCTCAAGAGCTCTTTGATGTACAGAATCCAGTTTGAAGCTGTGACACCCTGGCTTTGTGCTGCACCCCTGTGTAACACAGCAGGGGCTCCTCTGTCTTTGGGAGCTGGTGTGTGCAGTGAGATTCCTGAGCAGTGTCGTGCAGTCACTTCTGGCCACATCTGTTCTAGCCCAGCTTTATTTGTAAGAAAAACTCCCTACAGCTGCATCACACGTGGGTTTGCTGCAGATGTGCTGTTCAGAGGGCAGCAGGGCACTCTCAGCACCACCAGAGCACCACTTCCACTGTCACCTTTGAGGGACAAGCACAAGGTCCTCCTTGTACTCCTCAGCCCTGTGTTTCCTGGTGCCTTATAACTCTTTGCACATGTGTATCTGAAATAGCTCAAAGCTGATGTCAATATTAACTTCTCAGTCCAAACACCAGCACAGGAGGAGGTAAGTACATGACAATGGGGCATTTTTTAGTAATGGCACAAGATTTAAGCTTTTGAGAGGGCTGTGTAGTGTCAAAGGGGGAAATGCAACATCTTGGCATGCTCTGAAATAGCCAACCATTGTGTCTATGGCCAAGGAGCAGTAGCTGAGATTTGAGTTACTTTTAAACATACTAAATGCAGTTCCCCAGTTCCCCCAGCACAGAAGGCAGATGGGATTTGTCTGATCACGATGGACTGGAGATTCAGTTCAACACAACTGTTGGAAACATTTGGAATCTCTGGCCAGAGAGTAAAGTACTGGAAAGCAGACAAACAGGACTGGTAATCTGGTTCTCCCTGCTCATAATTCACCTAATTGGTGTGGGCATATATCAAGTGTTGTTTTTAAAAAGACAACAACCTATCATTTGCAAAGATTAAAAATGTGCCAATTTTTTTCGCATGCATCTGTCAAAAGCCCACAAGCCTGCAGTTTGCTGCAGAAGGGAACATCTGTGTCTAATTGGCAAAACTCAGGGTTCATAATGGGTGATTCAAATGAACAAAACCATTTTGTCATTCATTCAGTTGGGATTATAAACTAATCAGAAATCCTTCCCCCTCCCCTTCCCTCAGATCTATCTTGCATTTTCTGCCCCATGTGTTTTTTTCCCCTGATCTCAGAGCAAGTCTTGAATCTTTTTGGTCTCAGAAGCCATAATAAATTAACAATTCCCCCACAACCTTTCAGCCCTACTTCTGGAATTCACACATTGCACCTCCCCCTCTGCCCAGATTTGGGGGTGCAGGGCAGCTCTTGGGGTTTTTATTGCAACCAGCTGGTGGCTCAAGAGGCACCTTGCATCCGAGACTCCTTGGATGTACACAGAATGTGCAAGATATTCCTCCTGAAATGATGACAGTTTGACAGATCTGAGTGAAAGTGAAGGCAGGAAAGGAGCTTATCCTGAGGGTGGGGGCGAGGGATCTGGGGGGGGAAGCATTTCCCCATTCAGCACTCTGGAGCTGAATCCCACAGGACCCTCTGATCTGGCGGCTGCAGCTCTGGGGTGTGAACAAAGTCTCCTGGTAGTAGAGGAGGGGCTGTGAACGCCTCCAAGCGCCTTCTCAGTGTCTGAAAAAAGGCAACTGGATCAGCTCACATATTCCCAAAAACAAAATCTCAGCCCTCAATCACTGCTAATTTAAGGAGGCTTGAGCCAATCTGTGATCCTCCCACACCCAGGAGTGCCGCCCTGCGAGAGCAGCAGTTCTGGTGCACATTCTGCCTCCTAAACTGGGCACATATTTTAGTGCAAAAGTTGGGTGGTGTTTACTGTTTATTCCTGTGCAAATACTTGTTCAAAAGTGAGCTCAGCTGATTAGTGTGGAACAAAGGCAAGACTGCACTGATATGCTGGGTTGAAGGGAAGGAATACAAGAGAAGTAACAGAAAATCCCTCTATTCTTCTTCCAAGTGTAAGAGGCATCCTCTCCCTGAGGAAAGAGGAGTAAATTCACTGGAAACCAGCAAGTTTTCAGTAAAATCCAAGTGGCAACAACTGTAACTATAATTCTGATGTGAATTAGTAAATGTATCTGTTATGACCTGTAGCCTCTTAAATTGACATAAAGTTTTGCTTGTTTCCCCTGGATTCCCCATGAATTAACTAATCCATACTGAAACTGAACATTTTACCTCTTGGAGAAAAGATTAGTACATTTCTATGAATATGTTTTGGTTTTACATGTGGGACTCCTAAGGCATTAGGCAGAGAATAATATGTGTGTGGCAATGAATGTGGTTTCTTTTCCACTTGAGACTTCCAGCCATAATCCAGCCCAGGTGCCTTAAATGAGCAGCCTGTAGTTTATTCCACTGTAATTAACGTAAGCTTTGATTTAGATGACACTTTTACAAGTCAAATGTTGGATTCCAAGTTGAATACAGAACACAGTTTCCACCCACGTTACTGTTTTGGTCCTTTTCTGTGGCCAACCTGCATCCACCCTGAAATCCCCCAGAATATGAGCAGCACCTGCTGGAAAACAAAGGTTGTGCCTTGTAGAACAGGTCTGGCTTTTTGTTTCTATTTTAGAGCTTTTAACATTTGGTGTTGCATTTTTTTTCTTTCTCTTTCAATATGATCCAAGGGGAGGGACCAAGAGAAAAAAAATCTGGAGTATTTTGATCTTTGTGGCTTTATATGGACTTCATAAGCTTCGTTTGTTCTACTGCCAAGTTCCTTTGTGTTTAAATAGATAACAGACCAAGACAACTAATCATTTCCAATAAAAAACCACACCAAACCCAAAGCATTCCCTTTCTTTTCCAATTAATGCTCGTAAACCCATGCTTCTAGACCAGGCTTGTGACCTAAGCACTTCTGTTTGTTTTTTTTTTCTTTCCCTTTTCAAAAATGTTTGCCTAAGGCACAGACTGGGCTCTGTGCTCTGCAAATTTATGAAAGAATCTTGAGGAAAGGCTCTGAGAGTGGCTTTGGGAGAAGGTAGTTGTAAATATGATGTGCAAAAGCAGCCTCATGCACCTTTAGAAAAGCACAGAATGGGGGTTAGTGCCACCATTTATGGACTTCCTTCCTTCTTGGAGGCTGGAGGCTATTTGTGGAGAAGGAAGAAATAGCAGATTTGCATGGAACTGTCACTGTGTTATGTAAAATGCATGTTGGTTGCTGGTTTACTGGTGAGAGCTGGTATCTGCTGTCACTATTTTGAGAGGCTTTGCACTTGAAAAAGAGACAATTTGTCCAATCAAAAGCAGCTACATTTTACTGAAGTAAATAAGGCTGAGTGCCCTTGAAACAGAAGATGAGTTGGTTGGATGAATCATGGGTGATCATCAATGCAAAGATTCTTTTTTTACATGAAAATGTTTTTGTAATGAAAATAACACAGAGTTTTAAATGCTGTGACACATTTTCCCTTTAGCTTCTTAAGATTTTTCTCACACAACCAACTGTTTAGGGCAACATATTTGTGTGGTCAAAAAGTTGTATGTTTGCCAACAGCACAAATTACCAGTAGTAGGAAGTGAGAATTATGTGAATTACTTACGTGGGTGATATTTCTCTTGGAGGTTGACCATCCAATATACACTTCCTTAGTCTCTAAGAGTGCCTTCCCATATTAGATTGATGCTCCACAAAAGCAGGAGCTAAGATTTGCACAAGCTTAATGAATTTCTCTGTCTTGGGGGTATCTTAAACCAGTCTCTGAAGGGAAAGAAAAGAGCTGGAACTTCCATTGGTCTGGCAGACTGAATTCTGGATATAATCTATGGCAAGATGTAAGATTCTTTGTTTTATTTCCCAGGTGTATTACTCCTGTGGTGCAGTGGTGGAATCAATGGAAAGAGGCCTGATTTTGTCACCAGGTTTTCCAAACAACTACTACCCAGGGACACACTGTGTCTGGCAGTTTTTCATTCCCATGAGAACTCATCTCATCTTGGAAATATTTGACTTTGACATTTTTGAGAGCTCTAGTGAAACTCCAACCCCCTGGGATGGCTTTTCAGCCCCTGCTACAACAGAAAATAAGGACATGCCTTCTCTTGAGGAAAACCTGGACTTTTCTGTCCACACCACAAAACCCTCTCTCTGGACCTCGACATCAAAGGTGGCTCAGGATCTGAGCAGCACTGGGGACCAGTCAAAGGACCTTGCTGGTCACCTGGATGAACTTCCAGGAACCATCTCAAAAAAAAATGAAGCCAAACAAGCATCTGAAGAAAACCAGTGGAAGCAGATGAAGGAACCCAAAGCAATGACCAAGGCTCAGCCAGAGGAGCTGCCATTCCCTGTGGCTGGTGGTGCCTCAGTGCAGAGGCAAAATACCAGTGGCCTGGAAACAGGAGAGGATTTGGAAGGGAAGATGTTGCTTGCCCACCTAGCTGCTAGTGAGAGAGATGAAGTCCCAGCAGAGACCTGGGCTCTTCCCTCAGCAGCATTGCCCGTGGAAGTCTCCTCCAGCCCTCAGTCAGCAGTGGATGTCTGTCCCCATGATGTATTATACGTTTCTGATCTCATCACATTTTCCTCTCGCTTCTGTGGCCCAAATTCCCCTGTGAACAAGACCATGGTGTTTGGTTCCTCTCTGGAAATGGTGGAGGTCATCATGGAGCTGATCACCACCACGGACCGAGGCCGAGGCTTTGCCATGCTCTTCGAGTACAGGAACATCACTGACCCCAGCACTGTGGATGCTGTGAGGCAGGAGAGGAAGGAAAACATGATGGTGCTGGCAATTGGAACAGGGATTGTTGTCTTTGCTGTTGCTTTGCTCTCTGCCCTCTGCGTAGCTTGCAGGTAAGGTGATGCCAGAGCCTTGGAAGCGTGTGACATTATCCACAGGGAAATCACCAGAAAAGAGCTACATTCCCAGAGAAGAGTTAGATTTCCAGAGAAGAGTTGCCTTTCCTTTGCTCTGCTAACTCCTGCTGTCCTCCAAATGTGGTGAAGTGGGTACAGAGTAAGTCAATGTCCCTCACTGCTCCTGCCCATGGCTTCTCAGTTTTTTTTCCTACTTCTACAGCTCCTGTACCTCAGATTTATTTTCTTTTTCCTGCAGAAATACCTGAATAGTCAGGACTTTCCTGGCCATTTTTTTGCTTCAATGGCAGTGGTGCCTTTAAACCTCAGCTTTTAGCTGATGGACGAAATCAGCAGAGAAAGATCATCCTTCCCTGAGTCTCCTGAGCAGTCTGAGCTGACAGTCACTGCATCTTTTCACAGAGATCCCACAGTTTGGCTCCAACTAACCATCACTAGCACTCTGCAGAAAAGTAAATAATAACCAAAGCATTACCACATAGAATTAAGATTTAAAAATATTTTCCCATCTGTAGCATATTTTATCCAAGAGACTGTGCAGAAATTCTAAATCCAATGCATTCAGTGTGATCTGCACATCCCTTTGATGCTGGGGAAGAGCCCAGAGCCATGCTGCAGTAGCTCTCATTGTTCCCAAATGCAGTCCAAAACAATCCAGTCAAATGAGCTGGTGGTCAGGCTGGGTTTTTTCCAGGTCCTGATGCTAACTAGTTAAATGCTAACAGTTACACAAGCATGCCTCTCCAGTCAATTGCTTTTCTTTTATGTATTTCTTTTCTCTATATCTATCCAAGGAACACTTCTCCGCCCCCCAGCATATGTTTGCATTTTTCCAACTCCCTAGTGAAAACATTTTTGTAGAAACAGTGATTTATTTCTCTCCCTTCCAACAAATTCAAAACAGAGCCCATTCTCCCCAGGTTTTTGTCAAAATAAACACCGTTTTCCAAATGATTTGACTTCCATGAAAACATCAGGTAAACTGAAACAAGCAGTGCCCCTTGCAGGGCTCTACTCTGGGCTGGGTATTGGCAGGAGTGTTCATTTCCCAGAGCCATCAAGCAGCTGCTCTGGTTTCTCCCCTCCTGCATCCCCTGCCTCATCCAGTGTGAATCCTCCAGCCCCAGAGGCTCAGGATTGCCCAGACACCCCTGGACACCGGGGCTGGTTTGGCAGAGCCATTTGGTTTTCCTTGTCCTGATGGAGGCTGCATTTCAGCTCTGGCAGAATAAACACGAAATGCAGACCAATCCCACTGGGCACCAGAGAACATGGGCACAGTGGTGAAGCTTAAATATCATCTCTGTTCTGTATATATAGAAATTCCTGCTTTCAGGGTCTGGGCTTCTGCAGCTGTAAGAGTTAAACTTGCATGTATTACATTTAACTAACCTTTTTGTTTTTAAAGAGCTTGCAGAGCACTAATTTAGACCACAATTTTTTGCTAGCTCTAAAGGAAAAAGTCTGGTGGAAAATGTCTTCCAGATACCAAATACTTTATTTTTATACCCTTGCCAATCTTCAAAAGAGACAGAAACAGGCTCCCTTTGCTATGGCAGCAGTCTGGGCTGATACACATGTTGAGTAGGCTGTTCTTGCTCCAATACCCCTATTTAATTTCACTGTAACAATCCATGAAGCAGAGTATTATTCAACCCAAAAAGTGCACCGGCCATCTGAGGCTCCACTGGCTGAGGTTTCCTCTGCAAAGCCTGTTTAGAAAGTCAGGCCATGCTGCTCACATTCACAGTTTGGCTTTTTGCTTGTTAGATGTTTACAAAATAATGTTCTGCTCTTGCTGACCAACAGAAAAAACAGTTCTCAGGGCTTCAGCCCCACACACCAATGTTTGTGTGTTCTGGTCACTGGGAATACATCCTACAGGGGTCCCTATGGCACAGCAATAGGCTTGCTTCTTTTAACACTGGCATTTATTACTCTTCATTGCTCTGCAACTATTTTTTCTTTTTTTTAAGATGATACCTATACCTCAGCCAGCTATTGACTGAATGTAAATAATGTAAATAGAGACTCCCCCTGCTCCTTTAGCCTCTTGACAGGGTGTTTGCTGTCCCAGCCTCCTGTATTCCCTGCATGCTGTTCCTGGGAAGCCTCGATTACACCACTCTATTTTTTGTCAGAGCATTTAAGTGAGACCAGGTGGAAGTGATGCCATGACCTGTGCTGAGTTACCTCACCTGTGTTGCACTGGAAGAGCCTTTTCTCCCTCTCTGCTGTAAGGGTATTGGTGTCTGGCCCCAGAACCTCTGGCACTGGTTGGAGCTCGCCTACAGCTCACAGCTGTGGGGTTTTAATGCAGCTCAGAATAAGACTGCTGAGACCATTAAGCACTAAGCATTAAACTTCTTTTAGATTGAGCCCATCAAGCTCTATTTTATGCTTCTTGTCCTAAATAGGGGCTTGAAATGAGGTGTCAAATGTGTATTAGCCACAGTCTGTCCTCCCTGCAGAAAATGCCAGGGTGGCACGGGGTGGGCTGAGGGGGGGGATGCTGCTGCTTCACCAGTGCAGCAGACCCAGAGCTGGGACCACCCCCCTGAGGCACAGGGACTGTCCTGGCTGGACTGGGCACTGCAGGGGATGCCAAGAGGAACCTGGAAGCTCTTGGCCTTGTAAACTTGCCCTCAACTTTCTTTTCTCTTCATACTTTATTTATTCCTCTGGTACCCGGTTCAGCTGTTGATTTTTTTTCCCATTTCTATCTGCTGCTCTTGCTTAGCTAAAAGTAGCAGGCTCAGCCTTGCCAGGAGTAGAAATGGCCTGGGATGGGCTTGGCAGCCACTGCCACTCCAGTGCACCAAGTCATCAGCAGTATCTGCTCAGGCTCATTGCATTGAGCAGGGCAAAGCTCTCTGGGGAAACTCCAAGTCTCTGCCACACTGCAGCTTTTGTTTTCTACTTGGGGAAGGAATGAAAGCTTCAGTTGTTAGTTGGCCAATAATTCTAATTACTTTTGGCCATGAAGCCTGGCTCGAGTAATGGGGGATTTTTTATTTTCTTTCCCAAGCCCCAGGAACAACAGATACATCCATTTTATTTAATTTTAATCCTGTCCCATGCAGTCAAACTTTTGCTGTATGGTTGCAACCCATGAATTGCAGCTGCACTTTACATCTGCATAGCCTCCCAACCCTTGAGTGTGCAGTGACTCCATCCAGAGTTCAGTGCTGCCATCTCTCCCCACCCAAGCTGCCCTGCCAGTCACTGCCTGCTGCCCATCCATCACCTGGGGTGAGAATTTCCCTTTGCAATAACCTGGGTTGCATCCCATCAGTCAGTGCCTAGTGCTCCCCCGTGTCTGCAGTGTCCCCTGGAGAACCATTGGGCACAGACTACTCTTGTTTCAGTCATCATCACCAGTGCCAGCCTTTCTTTGTGATATCTTTGAGTCTTATCCATCCAAAAGTTTATAACACTAGTTGTTTCATAATCTCAGTTTTAGTAAAATTGTGAAAAAAAGGCTAAGAACACGCGTGTGTCTCCCTTCAGCCAAGAGGCACGTTCATCCCATCATCACTGCCACAGCACTGCCTGTTACTGAAACAGCCACACAAATGAGCAGCATCTGATGCTCTCTGCTTGCTAAATATAACCCAGTATGCAGTATTAGCTATGCAGATGAAATATTCTGTCTAGCAGGACAGGAGGGATGTCACTGCCCAGACTGAAGGATCTCAGTCCTGCTGTTCAGTTACTGATGTGAAGGAGCAGCTGTCAGGGGAGCCTGGTGGGACTTGGCAGAGGTCTGAGCTCTGCTCCTGCTTTTGCAGTGAGCAGAGGAAGAACATGACAGCTTCTTCTCTTCTTCAGCTGACTTTCCACCACATGAGCATATAATTTTCTCCCCTTGTTTACAGGCCTTGCTGCCTTGAGTCTTGGCAAGTATTTTGGATGCTCATAACCTGCTGGGTTCCCCTCGCAGGATGAGCAGAGCCGAGAACTTTCCTGCTGTGGATCTTTAACTCACTCGAGGGCTTGTTGTTGTTGTTGCTGTCTCTCCTTTTCAGGCAGAGAACGTGCCCCAAAAGGAGCTCATCCAACGCATGCAGTGACCAGGAGGTTAGTGCTCATGGCTTCAGCAATTTCTCTCTTTCATATTGGCTGTTGCACTGTTTATCTGACGATGTTTACTGGGGCATGTTCTGAGTTGTAGAACAGGATCCAGAACTCCACTGTCGATATCAATGAGCTCCAGCTGGTGGTGCCAAGCCGGGAGAATGAAAACAACAACCACTCTGTGAGCCGGGAGCAGGCGGGTGAGTGCGGGCATGGGCCGGAGCGGGTCAGGGCAGCCCTGGGCACTGCCCCAGAGCCTTCCTTCCCCGCAGCCCTGGCCACTGTCTCGCCCATGCACAGCTGGAGAGCTGCTCCACAGCAGAAAGCCTTTGTTGTGGGCACTGTCCCTTGCTGCTCCCCCTCCCTGGGAGGGTAATTCCCCTGGCAAGGAGCTCGCGCAAGCACGGCTCCAGCGCGCTGCCAACACAAGCTGTCACAGCACATGGCACTGCAGAGACACTGGGTTAGCAGAGCAAATGTGCTGGGCTCAGGCTGCTACAAACAGCTTACACAGACCCACGAACTGGGGAGGAGTTTCACCTGCCCTGGGCCTAACTTTGTCCAGAAAGGATGGGTTTTAGAATGCTCAGATTGTCTCTGGCCAGCTCCAGCTCCCAGAGCTCCCTGTTTCTGTGGGTCTGTGTGGATGGAGCTGCTTTGGGTGACATTTACCTCACAGTGTGCTTCCAGGAAAAAGCATCCCAGCCAAGCTGCAGACAATGTCACTTGCTGCAGTTCTGAGTCACAACACATGAACTGTCCCAGTGCCCCTTTGGTTAGTGGAGGCCATCAGGGAGTGGCTTAATGCTGTGCTGTGACACACCTTCAGTTTCCCAGTGATGGTACACACTCAGCTCTCACAAGGGTACCTCCATAAAAAGCTAATTCTGTACTTCCAGCCATGACAGCTTCCCATCTCCTTCTTGAGGAGCTGTGGCCAGAGTTCTCCTTGCCTGGACAAGAGGTCAGGCCTTGGGGACACATGCAGACACACATTCCCCCTCCATGTCAGTCCCTGGAGCATCAGGCTGCCTGTAGCAGCAGATTCACTGGGGTTTAACCAAAAACCACAGCTCCCAATATTAGCAGGTATGAGTAAATAAAAATAAATAATGAGTTGAGCAAGTTTGCAAGTTTTTGATCTGCAGCACAGCCTCATGTGTTTAACACAAGGAATTTCAGTTCATGTCTGTTTGTATTAGAAAGCACACGCAAGGGTGTTTCTTCTCTCCTCTTTTGTTTTGTTTTTAAAAGCTTGCAGTTTCAGGAGAGCAAACAGTTGACTTGAATTTTGTTCTGGCTGGTGCAACAGCCAGCCAAAGGCTGTTCTAGATTGTCTGGTGAGGGAGGGAGGGATGAGGGTTTGTTATGGAGGAGTTGGAAACAGATGTTTTGGACACTTGCAAGCAGAGCAAAAATCTTTATTGATTTTTTTCCTTTCTCAGTCACTTCCTGCAGAGGCAGCACAGAACGGTCTCCTCAGGACACTGACCCAGATGTGCCCTCCTCCATCTCTGCAGTGACCACTGAGACTGGGAGTGATGAAGTGTTTATCATTTCTGCTGGACCTGGCACCAGTGGGCTGAGCTTTACCACCTACAGGATACAGGTACATTCCCCAGCATCTCTAGCAGGCTGCAGGATGTCCCTCTTGGACAGCACTTGTCATACCTGTCCATTTTTGCCTAATTCACACTTTCTAGAAAGGCAGGGACTGAACCAGGCAGTTCTACCCCTCAAGCTGAGCTGTCATCAAATGATGTGGGCTGTGATCCCCTGAGTCTGTATCTTCCCAGCTTTGGGAAGATCAAATGCAGAACCCTACTAGCAAATCATGGAGATGCTTGCCAGCAGACAGTAGGAACAACCTGCAGAAGTGTTAATTGGCAAAGCTGATGTTCCATTAAATTACCACCTGTAGCAAATGAAAGAACTGAGAGTCAGACCTACTCCTGCCCCCCACTCCAAGGGATCAGGGAAGTTACTCAGCTCCTCAGCTTGCCAGAAAGTCTCTCACCAAGCTGATGTGAAAATTAACAGCTTAGGCTCAAAAAAAAAATCAAATACTTCAAGTGAAAGCACTGAGGCCCTCACAAATTCACAGACAGAAACCTGAATTGATCCAGCAGGTTCTCTCTTATTTTAGCTCTTTCCCCTGGACTCCTGGTCCTTTATTTGTTTAGAGACAGATGATGGCTCAGAAGCCTCAGGTCTGGCTGTCACCTCTTCAACCCCGAGTGAGTGCAGACAGAGCACATCCACTGCAAGTGTCTGCCAAAGCCTTTCCCAGGTCAATACTCTCTTCTCCAGTGCCCTGTCTCTTTCCCACAAGAGGATAAACAACCAGCACAAGGAACTCACATGCCCAGGACAGGCTGTGTAATACTTCTGTCACAGTTTACAAAACAAAAGCATTCTGTATCCCTGCACTTGATTAGGAAATTAGCCAGGAGGCCAGGCTGGTCAGGATTTTCCTACACTGGTGTAAGACACGTGCTGAGCTTTGCCTCCAGCTGGCCACCCTGATGAACAGAGAGGGGGAAAGAAAGGAAAACAGCTCTGGAGCCTTCCCTTGCCTGAACCTGACCTTCTGTGGAGCAGGGCACTGGGAGTTGTAGCCAGACTGGGCACCCTTGAACAAACCTGGTCCTTTCCAAAGCAGAGAGCTTCACCTGGTGGCAACCCCACACACATCCAGCTTCTAGGCAGCAGGGAAAACCATTTCCCTGCCCCTTTTCTCCACTTTAGTCAGAAGGCACAAATACACATACACACCCCATTTCTATTCTGATATTGCTTCTGCAAGCAGCCTTCAGAGGGCATTTATACATAAAAAAATAAAAGAGTGCTAAAACAGTGAAAATAAGCAAAAAAATTAAGCACATTATTAAGTCAGAAAGCATGTCCTCAGTGATGTCCATGCAGCACACAAGTGAGGCAATACTCCCAACCAAATTCCTCAAGGAACCAAGGCTGGAAGCATGGCAGGGCCTTTTGAAAGCCCTGGGTCTTTTCCCACAGCTGAGGACCATCCTCTCCAGGGCTGTAGAAATTGAGCACAGCAGACTAATTACAAACCTGGCCTCAAACAGGTTCTCATCAGGCCACTGGATAGTGAGGGCTCCTGGATGTCAGACGTGTTTACAGCTGAATTTTTAGGTGTGTATTTTTAGGGTGTGAAATGCTGCTGGCCAGCCAGCCTCCAGGCTCACAGGGGATGTGGTGTGTGGCTTTGTGGCCAGCACCAGGCAGTGGGATGAGATATCTGCTGGAGCACAGCCCGTTCCTTGGCAGGAGCTGAGCAGTTATCCCCTTGTGAAAACATGTGTGAAATCCCGAGCCTTCACAGTACAGTAAATAATGCCAGCAGACTCACCTCACACAAAATGCTTGACTAGAATTTGTTAAATTATAAGGAGCTTTCATTAAAAAAAAATTATCTTGACCTCTTCCCTGAGAAATTGTGTGTGGCTGCTTGGTTCTGTGCTCCCACCAAGTGTGAGCCTGAGCTCAGCTGGGCCTGAGCCAGTGGTTAAGTGGCTTTTGCTCTGCAGCTTTTCAAACCCATTTGAAGACACCAGTCCTGTGTTGTGAGGGAAGAGCTGGGAGAGCAAAAAAAACCTGTTTGTGATTGGTGTGAGGAAATGGAGGGTGGGATGGCTTTTGGGGAGATTCCAGGTGTCCTCCAGTAGTCATGGCTTGCTAAATCCCCTTTGGTTTAAGGCATCATTCACCCTTTGTCTGACTTATGACTGATCTCTGTTTTCTGATCAGACACTGCAAGTTTCAGATGCAAAGGTTTGAGTAAAGGGTATGATCATGGAAGTTTTACAAACATTTATTGCCAAAACATTTTCCAAAGTCTAGAAAACACACTCTTCATCTTCCCAGTTACTTCCAGTGTACCTATCTCAATACCAGTGGCTAATTTTTACATAACTTTTGAGGTATTTATAATAATATTAGAATAATAAATCCCAAGACAGCTTGAAGGGGCCACTAAGGAGAAGACAGGCAGCTTAAAAATTTATAAATAAAGATTGTCCCTTTAATAAAATCTTAGACTAGGAGCTTAATATTGAAACCAACTTATCCTGAGCCCGATGCCTCTCCTGGCTTCCCACTGAGTTTCTTTTTCTGATCTAGTGCTAATTTCTTGCCTCCCTGCCCATCCATTTCCAATATGACACATTCACTAAATAGTTTCTTTGATTTGCAGAAACTCGGGAGATTCAGATTCTCAGAAATAACAAATTACATGTTTCTGGTTTCTCAGGATTTTGAAATCCAGGACACTGTGGGATTTATTTCAGACAGTCTTTAAGGACTGTGTAAACTTTAGGAATAGGGATTTTGCATTCTTCTCATGACAACCATATTCGCACAGCTGAAAATTAAAAATATGTACAGAGTTGTGTAACAGGAGGCTTAAATAACAGGTGAAGTGTTAGTAAGAATGAAAGGAGATTCACAGGAATGTCAAGAATTCTCTAACTTTCCTGGCTCTAAGCTCATATCAAATATTAAGGAAAAAAATTGTGATTTCAAATGCAACATCAGAACTTATAAAGTATGGAAGAGATGTTTGTCTATAGTTCATTCCCATGTCTGATCAACTCTGCTCATTCACAGGGCTGGTGACAGCAGTTTAATGTAGTCTCACCTTCTGATGATGCCAATTTTACAGCTGTCTGGATGTCTTGTTCTACTCCTAAAGCATGTTGTCCACCTGAACAACATTTTTTATGTGAAATGCAAATCTCCTTGGCTCCAATCCAGTTCCTGTGCTTCTTGTTCTATTCAGCACAGATGCTGATAACAGATTATTTCATTTCTCTTTATTTTTTATTATTTTTAATTCATCCTTTACAGAGAATAGAGAACACCACTTACTTCAGTCTTTTCTCCCAAACTGTGCATTTTTGAGACTCCTGATTCTCTTCTTGCTTGCTTTGGGATTTCTTTGAGTAGGCTCCATCCCCCTTAAGTTTTATTTCCCCAGACAGACACATCTGGAGCCTTCCAAGAACCAAGCAGGGCAGAAGAATTCTGTTTTACACAGTGAAGTTTATGGCTCTGATCTGTCAAATACTTCCAGTAAAATTATGCTGTAGATATTTCATATATTTAGTGAGGGTTGTAGGACTATATCTTACATAACTGAAATTTCCCACTTAAGCTTTAAACCCGAAACTGGGGGAGCAAGATAAAACTTTCCTCCAGGGAAGCCAGTGAGCTTCAGGCTCTTCAGCACACTGGAAGAACGATGAAGAGATGTTTCATTCCTGAGTCCTCTGAGAACGACTGAATCAATCACTCTCTTGCACCAACAGCCTGTTTCCACACTGTTTTAAAAATGTTTTGATGAAAGATGCCTACAAACGATCTTTATTTACTCTTTTCAGGACAAAAACCTGAAAAGAAGCGTGACAAGCCCGGCCTCTGTGTCTGACTGGCTGAGCTCCCACCCCACAGCTGCAGGAGCAGACGCTGCTGAGAAGGGGAACGTGCAGCTGGAGCATCCCTGTCCCAGGCAGCGCACCTGGAGCGCCCGCACCTTCCACGACCTCCTGGCTCCAATACCACAGCTACAGAAAAAATGGTGCAGCTGGAGCACCAACAGCCCCTTCACAAAGCTGGTTGACAGCAGTGTGAGTCCTGCAGGGAGGGGAGGGTGCTGGGGTCTCAGCTGCAGTGTTTCCCCACTGTTCACTGATGGGACACATTTTTGCCTTGGCCAGGGTCTCACCTCTCTGTCCTGCAGTGCAAACACGTCTCAGTCCACCTTCCTTGGTGTATGGGAAAGTCTCTGGCCTAATTATATTGTAATTTAGCCAGGCTTTCCTACAATATTAAGCAGCTGTATTTTCCAGCAATTGGCACCTGGTTAAGAAATTATCCCCAGTCCAGAAGAACATTAAAAAATGCCTTCAGACAAGATTATCTCATTGAGTGTTCTGACATGTGCTTTTTCCCCTGGTTATGCCTTGAATTTATTATAATTGATGTATTATTATTGCACTGCAAGGAATCCGTAGGTGTGGCAGGGATATCTGGGTCTCACTGACTGTAGTCATCAAACCAACAGCTTGTTACAAAGCTAATAAAGGATGTTTCTTCCTTTTTAAGGTAATAACATAGGTTTTTGCTAAAGAATGCATCTTACCTCTAAAATAACCAGGAATTTTAACTTTTAGTTCTCCCGGGATCAAAGTTTCAAGAGAGAGCTGCTTTTCATGGCATGTGTGCTAATTTTGTACTATTTTGTGCAGGGTTTTTCTACAGCTGCAAGACCCCAAGGTGTGCCAACCAGAAAGGTAATCTCAGCCACTGAGATAGAGGGAGCATCAGAGACTGTTTACTCTGATTCATCTGCCAGTAATGCCTCCTATCCCCTCACTCTGTCTGCACAGAGGCAGCGAAAGTTAGCCTCCTGCAATTTGAAGAAATCCAGATTTGGAAACCCTTATTTTGGATTTTTAGCCAGTTCCCCTGACAGCAAACATATGAGGTCTTTGGATCCCTCAAGACATCTAGGGGCAGCATCTCCAGTTAACAGCCAAAGCCCCAAAAATCTTCTAGAGAGCTCCAACCCACTGAAAATCAACTTGGTCAACGGCTCAAAAACAAAGGAGCTTATGGTAGAAACAGATAAAAACAAACCTGTTTTTGTTATTTCTGAAGAAGGGGATGATCAGCAGCCTCTGGTCCTGGCAGAACACCTCAGTCAGTGTGGAGATCACCTGTCAGAGCACAATGCTGTGTATGCTCCAGCCGTGCCAGAGAAGCAGCCGGTGGCTCTGACTGCGGAGAGGAACAGCTCTGCCACCTTCACCTCGAGCCTTTCCCTTTGGGGAAAATCCCCCACATCATACAAAGGCCAGGGGAAGGCCCCCAGCTCCTCCAGGGACCAGCAGAGCTCAGCAGGTGGAGATGCCAACAGTGCTGAGCCCTCACAGAACTGCAACACCCCCGCTGCCCCCACGCTGTGCCAAGCTTCAGCCCAGTGATGTCCTCGGAGAGACAGAGACATCAGTTCCCAAAGCCAGAGGGAACAGGGACACGAGCAGAGCAGAAGCTGTGCCGAGCAGTTGAGTGTGGCAGTCACATGTGGCAGCTTTGTTGAGAGCAGCCTTTGCTTCCCACACGTTGGGACTGAGATTACAAGGACACAAACCACAGCACAAATGCCAACTCCCCTTCAGCTCACTAACCTCATCTTGCTTCTCCTGCATGAGACCTGGATGTAGTTTGTACAAGAAAGCATCCTCTGGAAAGGTACTTCAGAGTGCAGAACCCCTTTTCTGGGACGGGAGTGAAAGTTACACCATGGTTTGTATCTGAAATGTCAATCAGTCCCTGTCCCTGTGGCATCACTTGAGTCTTTCTGTTGGGAGCTCTGAGTTAGCTTCTGTTTATAGCTCTGCCTGTACAATCCAAGCCTTGCCAAGCCAAGGGTAAGAATTCAATCATGCATGTTTGCATACAGTTTTGTAAACTTCATTTTAAGTATTTCATAACTTCTGCAGTCTAGCACAAAGCTTACCAAGCATTAGCAACTCTAATATTAAAGAGCAAGATTATCTCATCTCCTAGCTCTTTAGAGAAGTGTACAGACAAGCTGAGCAACCCAATACCAGATGCTTGTTCTATTAAAGTCTGATGTAGCTTTATCTTTGTTAGGTCTACATAGGCTTAGAACACCTCAGTCCACTACATTAAATGACTCCTCATGGCAACAGGAGCATGTGTACAAAAACACTGAAATACTAGGAATAGTCTTCAGCATCCAACACTTGGATATTTGCAGCTGCTCTGATCCTATATTCACCAGCTATTTATTGCTGGTAACGCACATTGACTAGAGAACTATTCCCCTTCCTTTAGCAGGCAAGACTTGAAAGACAAAATTAAGGTGGGGCAAACTTTGAGTGCTCACTTTCTTTAGAAATTAACCCTACGTGGCTGTGCCTCCCTGAGTACAAATCCAGGGCATTCAATGGAACACTGAACCAAAGGGAAGCCTGCTAGTCCTATTGCCTTTAATAACCCCATCAGAATTTTAATTTCCTCCTGGACATTTTCCTATCTTTGCAAGAGACTCCTGCATGTTTGTCCCACAATTCAGAATTGTTTTCCCTTCTTAAATGAAACAATTCCCTCTGAAGCTGCATTTTGCAGCTGAGACAGCACATTGTTTTAAAGCAATAGTATGTCATAAAACAGGTGTCAGAAAGAAATCTTCTGCACAAGTCTTCCCCTGTATTAGCTGCAGTGTGCATCCAGTTATCTTAATCCTTCTCTGTGAAGGCATTTAAGACTGATTGCTGAAATATTTAACTGAATTATTTATGATTTCACCTGCTGTTACAGCTTCCATTTGCCACCATTAATGTCAGAGATATGCAACACAAGACTATAGGTTTTGCCTTATATTTTCTCTGTGTGTTTACATGTCTACCTAGACATAGAAGCTGTGCAGCTGGTAGCAGTGGAAGCAAAAACACATTTGCCCTTTAGCAGTTGACTCAAACATGAACAGCAAACAAGTCTCTGCATTTATTATTTCCAGACTGTGCTCAGTGCCAAAGTCTGGCTCCATGTTGGTTGGTTCTTTTTTGGTGGGTACTTTTTTTTTTTGTGTTGTTGTTGTTTAAATTAATGCTACTTGATTCAAAGGGAAGAGATTAATATATTTATGGTTTTAAAAATATTTAGAAGTCTTCAGTACTCTAACAATAACTTCCACTGCATTAAATTCATATACATTGTAATTTAATGTTCTGTTACTTATTACATTTCTAAAGTTTGAAATACTAAAACCTACTTTTGAAAAGTACTTGTGTTCAATTATTGACAATAGTTACACTTGAAGGGCTGGAAAAAGTGGCTTTTTCAATAAAAGCATGTTTAACCACTCATTTCTATGGTGTAACAACACTTAATTTGTTTTGCTGAAAGCCTGAGCTGTGCCTTAGAGCACCAGGAGAGCGTGTGGGGTACCCCAGTGGTGGCAGAAGAGCAGAAAAGCAAACACTCCTTTTCAGATCCTTCCCAATTTCTCTGAGACTGAAGGCGAGGTGGTTGTTTACACCGACCTCCTCCACTACCTGTTGTGTAACCAAAGGCCAGACTTTGCTCGCCAGGTTTGTCAACTGCTGCCACAGGAGGCTTCTGTGGGAGTTTGTGTTTCCTTTCAGATCCATCAGTGCCTGCTGCAGCAGCATATGGGCAATTATTCATGGGACTGCACCAGACACCCTGGCTGCAGCATGGGCTCTACACACACACACACACACACACACACATATATATATATACACATATATGTGGTGAGAGAGGGGTTGCTCCTGATGAACATGCAATATTGAACACTGCTGCTTATTCTCAGAACAGAGGTGGCTGATTGACCAACTATTTAAAGGTGATGCCACTAGAAGATGCTGAAGCCCCGTGCCTGCAGGTGGGTGCTGCAGGTACCCCAGGGGAGACTTCAGTTCCTGACCTGCCTTTTGAAGTTTTTTTTGTTTGATTAGGTTTTTTTGGTTTTTTTTTTTTTTGTTTTGTTTTTTTTTTAAGGGAGTTCTTAAATATAATGGCTAAAAGGGATT